CCGTCCAGAATATGGCGACCGAGTCGATCAGATCCCCAGCGCCCCGTGACGCGTCGGGAATGCTGTACGGCTCGGCCACCGCTGTCAGGCCGATCAACCGCTTTGCCAAGCTCTGGAACATTAAGTCCTGAGCCCGGCGGGAGCGTTTAAGATTGCACTGCAGGAGCAGTTGTCCTCCTCCTCTTCTTCCGCTCACGTCGGGGAAGTCTCCGTCTCCATAGCCTCCTCCGGGCCGTTCCCCTCGCAGTCGGTGCGTCCGACTTCTCTGTCCTCTCTTCTGGCCTTCGTGGGGCCAGTCGACGGCGGACGTGATTACAAAATGTGGGAGAAAAGAATATTAATGTATTGTAAAGTGTAAAAAATGTTATGAACCGATTATACGAGAGAAAATGGACACGGATGCGCAAGATAATTGCGATTAAAAGAATCAATGGGTGTTACGACCGTTCGCGGAGAGACGCGGTCGCTAGGAAAACGCGTCGGCGAGAGGCGTAAATTCTCGCTACGATTTGGTTAATCGACGCCGCGAAATAGTCGTTCCCCTGTATCGGTTAAGATAACAGAGGTAGTTAAATGATTGTAACACTGTATAGTAAGTTACATATCACCGTTTATTCTAACAACTTGTAAAGAAGACAGTTACGCTGGTGCGTATGTATAAGATGAGTGAGTGACTGATCTACGGGTGTATTCCCGGTCGAAGGATGTTGACTGTTCGACGGATGGAAAATCAGTACTGTCTTGGGAGACGATGCTGTGGCGGAGGAAAGCTAAGGATGGGCGTGTCTAGCGCAAGGAACCATCGGATTTGTTGGTGACGATTTTGGCTAAGAGAGTGAGGGAAAAAGGCTTCGTTGTTAATTGGTTAAACGAAGGTTGGTGGACTAGGAAGGGTTTTAGCCGCCCTCGATAGAAAGTGGTTAGTAGGAGGAAAGTTGCATCGTACGTTAGAAAAACTAACTTTCCCTTGTCGAGCCGTAGTAGACAATGGTCTTTAGAAATGAGTCGGAAAACAGATGTTTGTTCGGTTTGAAGGGCCTCGACTAGGAAATTCCTGAGATTTATGGAAGGTTCTTGCGATTATTGAGGGTACGCAGTAAGTATCCGAAGACATCTGGTTCCCATCTTGCCCACGGTGTGTGGTCTGGCCTAGGAAAAGTGTTACGCGACGCAACAATAGGCGATGAGCTACATCTATGGTAGTATAACAAATGAACAATTAGAATTTGTTGGTGATCAGGACACTGCTTTAAAAATAATGAAAAAATTTCTTGAAATGTATATGAAGGAATCAACAGCATTGCAAATTTGTATAAGAAATAGGCTAGACATGATGAGGCTGAAAGACTTTGAAGAATCAAATTTATTTTTCACGGAATTTGAAAAAATAATAAATGAATTAAATAGTGCTGGTGCAAACGTAAGTGAACGTGAAAAACCCGACTACATGCTGAAAACACTACCAGAATCATTAAGCTATATTGGTGACTTAATTGACTTAGTGAAATAAAGTGATTGAACTTGTGAATTTCCAAAGAGGACGAGGATATGGTCAACGAGGATTTGGCCAACGAGGACGAAGCAGAGGCTGGCAACAACGCTACAACAGGGCAAGTCAACACGACGCAAATTATTCATACAACGAGGGCTACGACGATCAAGCAATTGGATCCTTCCTAACGAGAGTAGAGCGCGAAAATAGTAAGAATAAAATTACGGTATATACTAGCGATACGCGAAAAATAGATTGGATATTG